CTCCACCTCCTCGATGGATACCGAGGAGGCTGAGTTCGAGGCTCTTCAGAGCCACCTTGATCTGCTGAAGGAGCAGGTGGCACAGCTGGAAGCCACCAAGTCTGACCGCGCTGAGCTGGAGAAGCTGCAGTCTGAGCTGCTGCTCCAGCAGGAGGAAGGTGGGAGCTCTGGCATCTGGTGGGATGTTTGAGAGCCTGGGTCTGGGGCTTGTTGCCCTCAGAGCCTGGCCCTGGGGGTGAGACCCCCTCACTGACAGTGTGTCCCCATGGACCATGTTCTTGTAGGCCAGGAGAGCATCTTCACCAAGCTTAAGGACCTCCGTGGCCAGGTGTCCTCCCTGCAGGCCCTGGCAAGTGACCTGAGGCAGCAGGAGGAGAAGGTGAGCCGGTGGCGGTCCCTGGGGGGCCACGTGGGGATGCTTGGGGGTTTGGGCAGGGAGGGGCAGATGAAGAGCCCCTGGTCTGGGAAGACACTGGCGCCATGCCCTGGCTCTGCCCCACCACCGGTCCCAGCTCACGTCCATGCTCCAGAAGCTGAAGCAGGAGCTGATGGAGAGGGTGGCATGGGGGGCGTCGGAGGAGGCTGCTGGGCCCTCCCCTGCCCTGCAGCTGGTTGTGCTTCTGTGGAATGTGGGGGAGCCCCTTGCTCTCCCACCCCCCAGACTGGGTTGTACGAGTTCAGCAGCATGGAGGGAAATTGAAGCCCTGCTCTAGATGTCCTGCTGGCACTGAGAGCCCATTGTCATTGCCCATTAAGCCGAGTCTGTTCCCAAGGGACAGCCGCCCCCCCTCGCATGGCACTACCCTGTTGTCTTCCTCCCTGCAGCATGCCCAGGAGCCCTGGAGCTCCGGCCCCACCGTCCTCTCCATCCCTCCCTTCCCCACTCCTGACCTGCGGGTGGGAGCCGTGTCCACTCCTCGGGCACCTCAGAGGCACCGTCAGCACCTCATGGGCCTCACCTCCACCTCCGGTCTCCTTGGCTCGCCCTGGGGCTAAACCCGGCATGGGGGGGACTGGAGAGGGGCCTCCCCCTGCCCGGCACTGAGCTGCTCAGGCACAGGCTTTTCCTGGGTGTCTCAAGGGGCAGCGCAGGGGACCCAGGCCCTGGCCTGCAGGGACCCTCCCCTGGGGCTCAGCCCCCACCGCCCTCCTCTCCTCGGCCATGGCTCTGTCCCAGCCTCTCCTCGAGGGGATCGGGGCCATGAACGAGGCAGTCGGGAAGGGGCTTGGCTTGCTGAGCTGCTGCTGGGCTCCCTGCGGGCCTCGCCCCCTCCCTGCGTAACCCTGCGTCCATCACCCTGCGGGCCTGGGGGGGAAGGGGGTCCCAAGAGGGAAGTGAGGCTGGACCCCAGGGGCGGCTGGGGACAGAGCTGGGGACAGTGGGGAGCCCTGGCGCTGCCCTTGCTGCTGCACTTCTGCCCAATAACCTGCTCCGGAGAAATCCCATTCCCAGAGCGGGGAAACACTGAGCAGTCTGCCACCACCGAGTCCTCCTCCTTGGACATGGACACCCTGAACAGGGCAAGCTCCATGCTGGGCCTCAAGGAAGCAGGGACACAGCGTGCAGCCCTCACCACTCAGCGCTCCAGCTCACCAAGCAGGCCTGCAAGTCACAGTGTTCAGCCCAACAGCTCAGAGAGAAGGGCTGGAGCTGCTGGCTGTGAGGACAGGGCTATATGGAGAAAGCCTTGTCTCGCTGCCACCCAGGCCTGCAGCTCAGAGGAAGAGCTTGGAGCTGCTGTCGCCAAGGCCAAGGCTCCACACCGGAAGCCTTGGCCTCTTCCCAGCCAGACCAGCAGCACAGGGATGTCTTTAAGAAAATGGGTTTACTGGGCAGACCTCCGGGAAGCAGGGATGCAGCCAACAGCCCCTAGCTCCGGTGAGCATCCCAGGGCCACGGACCAGCTGCAAGAGGTGTGCAGGTGGTCAGAATCGTCAGGGTCCAGCAGTTCCTCCACCTCCTTGATGGATACCGAGGAGGCTGAGTTCGAGGCTCTTCACAGCCTCCATGATCTGGTGAAGAAGCAGGTGGCACAGCTGGAAGAAACCGAGTCAAACCGCGCTGAGCTGGAGAAGCTGCAGTCTGAGCTGCTGCTCCAGCAGGAGGAAGGTGGGAGCTCTGGCATCTGGTGGGATGTTTGAGAGCCTGGGTCTGGGGCTTGTTGCCCTCAGAGCCTGGCCCTGGGGGTGAGACCCCCTCACTGACAGTGTGTCCCTTTGGCCATGTTCTTGTAGGCCAGGGGAGCATCTTCACCAAGGACCTCCGTGGCCAGGTGTCCTCCCTGCAGGCCCTGGCAAGTGACCTGAGGCAGCAGGAGGAGAAGGTGAGCCGGTGGCGGTCCCTGGGGGGCACGTGGGGATGCTTGGGGGTTTGGGCAGGGAGGGGCAGATGAAGAGCCCCTGGTCTGGGAAGACACTGGCGCCATGCCCTGGCTCTGCCCCACCACCGTTCCCAGCTCACGTCCATGCTCCAGAAGCTGAAGCAGGAGCTGATGGAGAGGGTGGCATGGGGGGCGTCGGAGGAGGCTGCTGGGCCCTCCCCTGCCCTGCAGCTGGTTGTGCTTCTGTGGAATGTGGGGGAGCCCCTTGCTCTCCCACCCCCCAGACTGGGTTGTACGAGTTCAGCAGCATGGAGGGAAATTGAAGCCCTGCTCTAGATGTCCTGCTGGCACTGAGAGCCCATTGTCATTGCCCATTAAGCCGAGTCTGTTCCCAAGGGACAGCCGCCCCCCCTCGCATGGCACTACCCTGTCGTCTTCCTCCCTGCAGCACGACCAGGAGTTGCTGAGCCGCTTGGCGCTCCAGAAGCAGAAGCTGCAGCAAGCCCAGCAGCAGCTGCAGGAAGAGATGGCCTCCAAGGTGAGGGGTGGCCCAAGCCCACTGTGCCAAACTGGCACCTCTGGGGCTTGGTGGCCTAAGGCTGTATCCCTCTGAGGATTCCTGCTCCTGGCTTTCCTCTGGGGGCCGCAGTGCCCAAGGCTGGGGCCACTGGCTGAGGGGAGTGTGTCTGCCTGCAGCTGGGCCGCAAGGAGCTGGAGCCTTTCCAGCAGCAGCTGGAGGAGCAGTGGAAGAGAAGCCAGGAGCAGGTCAAGGACAAGGCACCGCTGAGGGAGGCTGACAATGCGGCTGCCATTAAGACGTGAGTGTGATGGGGACAGTGATGGCTTCAGGGACAGCACTTGCCCCGTTGCCACTTTGTCCTTGCCAGACCCCTGGTTCCTATGGTGCTCTGGGTGCCCATGGCAGGAGTTCCCACTGATGGTGGTGGGTTTTGGAGCCAACCTCCAACTGGTCTCCCTCATCCTCCAGCCATTCTTCTGTAAGCAGCCAGGGGGTTGGATCCTTACGTGGCTGCTAGGGGATAAACCGGATCGTTTGTCCCCTGTCACCCACCGGTGCCTCTTGGCTTCTGCAGGTCCATCGTGCCCATCCCACCCGCGCCAACACTGACCCCCGCAGCACTGAGAAAAAGCCTCGTTCCCTCAAACCAGGGCAAAGCAAGAGGTAGGGGACTGGGGACCCATCCCCTGCCGGGGCTGCAGGGTGGCCCTGCCCTGGCCGGGAGAGCTCTTCCCTGGGTGGGGATAGGAGGCTCTGGGGGTGCCTGGGCAGGCTGCCCAGATGCGCCCTGTCCCCCACCCTGGCAGAGCACAGTGCTGGGTGCTGAGTACCCCTGTTTCCCCTCCTGCAGGGAGCCCGTGGCTGGCTGCTGGTACCCCAGCGTGCCGCGGCAGTGCGGGGCCCAGAACACTGTCCTCCAGCCTGGCCCACCCAGAACCCCACGGCCGCTCAGGCCATCCACCGTGCTCCGCAGCAAGGTAGGGATGAAGAAGGAAGGGAGGATCTGGAGGGGGCAGCTGTGGCTGGGAGTGTGCTGCTGAGTATTTGGGATGGGGGGATTTGTGCCTCCGCTTCCCCAGGAGGGCTGGGTGTGGAGGGTTGCTTGGGGATGCTGAATATTGCCCCGTGCTTTAGCCAGACCCCTCTCTCCTTCCCAGCAGGATGGTGACAACGCAACAGAGCTGCTGGGCGACACCAGCCGCCAGCAGGACAGGCAGCAGCCCCTGCTCAAGAGCAAGGAGGGTCGAGTCGGGAGGCCCCTGACCCAGGCAGCCTTCCCCAGGCATCGTGGCTCATCCCGCCCCTCCTGCCCCTCTCCACCAAACCCAATCCCCAGCAGCCACGCAAGACTGGGGGTCCCCCGCTGAAACCCTGGCGCCCTGCCAGCCCTGCAGCCAATAAATAAATCCTCGTGTTCACCCGAGTGCCTGTGTGAGCTGAGTGGGGGACCCTGGCTCGGGATCTGCCCATCACACACAAGGAGGGCTCGGCAGCATCCCTGGCCTGTGGCCACCTGTCACTGGAGGAGCAGCCCCTGGCCACCACACATAGCAGCGCCTCTGCCCACCGAGCTCCTGCAATCTCCTGGCACTCCCTGGCCTGCACAAGCCCCCTTTGGGAGTCTGTGTCCCCAAAGTGTCCTGTGTCCAAGTAATTCCAGCACTGTTCTACACAGTCCATGGAAAACCACTTTCACCTTGAAGCCTATGCACCCAATAGTCACCATAAAGAATTAATTTAACTCAATGAAACACTGTTACGTCAGTCTATCAAACACCATTTCTGTCTTTTATAGTTTTCCTCAGCAGCTTCAACCCCTGAAGTAACATGCATCTGGAGATGTAGGGGTATTAACACATCTTAGTCTTCCACTTATTTTTTGGGGACAGATGTAGCAGAGAATTAAATCCCCTCTGATGAAATTACATCAATAATCTGCCACAACCAAAGCTCAGGCACCGCGTCCATTTAGTCTTTCATTGCTCTGCAGCAAGGTTGCAATTCATGCTGAAGGTAGGAGGGATTTGTCACAAGGATGCCTATCTACTAGAAAGCAGCTTAAAACAGTTGAATTCTTCAAACACAGGACCTGAAACCAGCACTTAGGCTGATAAGGTATTTCATTTCTTAATTAAGGGGCGCATTACCCTAGAGCATAGATGGTGCATCTGGTAGGGCACCCCTCAAAAGGTGGCTAAAAAGCTTCTTGGCACTTCCATGGAGCTCTTCAAAGTTTGTTGAGAGAGAACTCAAAGAGGAAAAGCTGAAGTAAAAGGCAAAAAGTTCTGAAATTCTGCACTTGAACTATGGGATAACATCCTATTTTCTGCTTGCCACATTCAGCCTTTCCTAACATTTAAAGTATCCAAACACGGAATTAGCAGTGGACCAAATCCCTCTGGTTCATCTGCAGGCTTTACTTTCATCTTTCAGTGAGGTAAAATGGGTTCATCTAAGAGATATATTCACAGTCAGAAGTGAGGAAAAATAATTCCTAGTATAATTGAAATAATCTTTATGGCATTTTCATTTTGGGAGTCTTTACAAAAAGCAGACAGAGCAAAAACCACCTTACTCTGACATTTTTCTAACCTGTAGGAATGGCCATCAGCCTACTGAAAGACAGATACAATGGACCATACCTTTCCCCCATAAAAACCCTGATTGCTATTAAATCAGGCCCTGGCAGAGGCAGGCTGGGACGAGCCTAAGGTGGAAACTGTGGATCTGCTCGAGTGAGTCCAGAGGAGATCACAAGGATGCTGAGGGGGCTGGAGCACCTCTGCTCTGGAGACAGGCTGAGAGAGTTTGGGTTGTTCAGCCTGGAGAAGAGAAGGCTCCAGTGAGACCTTGTAACAGTCTTCCAGTACCTAAATGGGGCAATAAAAAGCCTGGAGAGAACAGCAAAGCGGTCCAAATGAGGTAGACACCAGAAGAAAGCCTCTGCCTTCAGCTTTCACTTTCTGCAGAAGTGAAAGGCAGGCCAGTAAACCATTCGGTTTCAGGCCCACCACCAAGTCCTGTAGACACGCAGCCTTTGAATGTAAAGGAAAAGACGAGGGGTTTGGCTGCTGATGAAGGTAAGCGAGGGTCGAATGCGTCTCAGTATGACAACGTTCTGGAAGCTGAGAATGAGAATCTTGTTGAAGAGATGCTTGAGAGAGCTCCTCATACAGAGCCTGGGGCACGTAGCATATTCTAATAGTGCAGGTGAGCAACCTGACAGAAAACCAGCTCCATTAAAAATACCCAATTACACCTTCACTTCACAACCCAGATCTCCAAAATACTCCTCGCAATCCGATGGACCACCTCACGGACTGAACTAGAACAGCCACTGCCACATTACAGGAATCCGCCTCCTTACCATGGCAATTCTCGAACGCGTGTTTCCAGTATAGGCAATAGGAGTTCTGTTCCTCTACATTACCATGGGAGTCAAACCAGCCCTTCTGGGAGGCCATATGGTTCTTTTATTTCAGTAGATTATTCTCCAGATTCAACTTACAAATGAATTCCTATCCTGCCAGTCACCAAAATCCTCTTTCAACAACCCCTGCGCAGATAGAAGTAGCCCCTGTTGATGCTTCTACCAGCAACTCGAGATCCCCCCCAGCTGTCAAATTCATAACCCCTCCAGAGGATTATTTACCAGAAGATAGAAAGTGGCCAGAGGCCGCTTATATTTACAGACATGAGCCCTACAGGCAGCCCTGGAGCCGAGATGTTAACAAAGGCCACTTGGAAGGTTTCCAGGTATATCAGCATTTTCAGTCAATGGATTTTCAAGGCAATACTGTTCATCCTGTTTCTGTGAATAGTCCAGTAAGATACAGGACTTCACCACCCTTTGAAGACCATGGCTCACCATAGCACCGATATTCAAGCCCATCTGCACAAGCCCAACACTCTCAAAATAGAAAGGATGGGTTGTCTGTGCGTGAATCTGTGCCTCTCTGGGAATCTTAACTGTACTCAATAAACAGGCAAAACCCAAACGCAATCAAACATTACTGTGTTAGCAGTCAGTTCTGCCATGAAATACAGAGAGTTCACACGCAGCTCAAAAATGACACCATTTCAGAGATGTTTCAGATTTTCATTGAAGGCTGGTTGAGCTCTTAGACTTGCAATGAAGCTATTGAAGGTGATCCGATGAACATAAACCCAGACATAGCAATAAGATCGTATGAGCAGTATATGTATGTTGCTGCAACTGAGCATCTCTTACGCTTCCTTTTAAGACTTGAATATGGATTCTGACAGCATTAATGTGATTGTAAATGCAAATTCTTGACTACTGGAGCAGCATTTTTCTTCCATCAGAAAAAGAATGTGGAGTAAATACAGCCAATGTTAGGAACATAGAGCGTATTACTTCCTATTTTGCTCTTGATACCTCAACAGTTTTGGAAAACCAGGAACAAAAAAAAACTAAGAAAAGAAGCTGACCATGTAACGGGTGTATGTACTATAAAAATGATATTAAAATATATACAGAGCCCCAAGAACATCATTCTTCTATTAGGCCACTGAATCTGAACAGGTATTCAGCACAATACTATGAAGTCCTCATATGGATATGCGCATACTCTTGCACATACTCACTGACTATGCAAAATACCAATGCATTCCTTTAGGGACTACTATTAGATTAAGGATGCTGGAGGACAGCAGATCCACCAGTCCTATGTTAGTCTACCCATTATAATACCCAGGGGAAACCAAATGTTCAATGACTCTTTAAAACACAAAATTACAACCCACACCAACTGAAACTTTTAAGAGCAAAGAGACATAAATCAGGATTATACCCAGCAAGTTCACGAGAAGACAAACAGCATAGGCAGTTACTAGAACTGTCTGCGCTGGAGATCATAAAGACGACAAGAGGGATATTCTACCAAGACAAATATAATTAATATATAGTATAAAGACTGCGCTCACACAACTGAAACTAAGGGCATATAAAAAATACCGAGTAGTTTTAATGATCACAAGCTAGAAAATGGAAGGCCTGAGATCCTCTTACAACTGAGCTACCAGCACAGCTAAAGGCTCAGAGCAAGCATATAACACTAGCCAAAAGCCCTTGAAATGTAAAGGAAAGCTAGCACAGCTACCCAGCAGGAAAAGGAACCAAAGAAGGTCCTTCAGGAAGCTGAAGCTGTGCTCAGATCAGAGATGCTCAAACACTGGCAGTACAACAATGTGAGAAAACAAGCCTTCCCCCAAGAAAGCAACTTCCCAAAGGCATTACAAAATACTAACAGATCTGTTTGTAAAGCCCTTGGAAGCAGAAAACCTGACAGAGAGTTTGTAAGTTCAGCAGTCTGTGAAGATTTTTACAAGTGCTCACAGAAGATAAAGTCAATACCAGACAGAGCCGATGAGAGGGGAGGCTGCAGTGCAGAGCTCGGGGTGCAGAGAGTGCCTGCACTGCTCTGGTGAGGGGAGGGTGCGCAATGGGCAGGGCTGCACTCGGTGCTCCCTGGTGCAGGTCCTCCTGCAGCAGGGGCTGAGCTGCGGGACGCTGTCAATAGGCTGCAAGATGGCAGGGAAGCTGAGAGGAAGCAGCACCAGCCGTCCCAGGCCCAAACTGTGCAGGGGCCTCAGCGGTCCCCTGTAGCTCATGGAGGAGAGAAGGAGGCCGTTAACCTGGGAAGATGGGAAACAGCAATGAAAAAACCTACAAAGGAGGAAGAGGGCAATTAAAAGCAAGGGGCTTCCTCCTAAATCTGTCGTCCCCACCCAGAACCGCTTTGCTGTTCTCTCCAGGCTTTTTATTGCCCCATTTAGGTACTGGAAGACTGTTACAAGGTCTCGCTGGAGCCTTCTCTACTCCAGGCTGAACAACCCAAACTCTCTCAGCCTGTCTCCAGAGCAGAGGTGCTCCAGCCCCCTCAGCATCTCTGTGGTCTCCTCTGGACTCACTCGAGCAGATCCACAGTTTCCACCTTAGGCTCGTCCCAGCCTGCCTCTGCCAGGGCCTGGTCACCAAGCAGCCTGCCAGTCAGAAGTGTGCTTCTCCATACTGTCTCCACAGAGTCACTGGAACAGAGATGCCTACATTGGCTTTGGAGAACAGCACTTAAGGTACAACCTGAGGGTTGCGGTTGCTAAGTGCTGGCTATCCTACACTACATTTCAGCACACACTGAAGCCAGCTCATGTTCATTTTCTCATTGACCAGCACCCCCAAGTCCTTCTCCTTGGGCTGCTCTGAATCTCTTCTCTGCCCAGCCTGTAGCTGTGTCTGGGATTGCTCCAACCCAGGTGTAGGACCTTGCACTTGGCATGGTTAAACTTCATGAGGTTGGCATCAGCCCACCTCACAAGCGTGTCAAGGTCCCTCTGGATGGCATTCCTTCCCTCCAGCGGATCAACCGAACCACACAGCTTGGTGTCATCGGCAAACTTGCTGAGGGCGCACTCAATCCCACTGTCCATGTCAGCGATGAAGATGTTGAACAAGACCGGTCCCAACACCGATCCCTGAGGGACACCACTCGCTACTGGTCTCCAGCCTGACACTGAGCCATTGACCACAACTCTTTGTGTGCGGCCATGCAGACAGTCCTTTATCCACCAAGTGGTCCACCTATCAAACTGATGTCTCTCTGATTTAGAGAGAAGAATGTTGTGTGGGACAGTGTCAAACGCTTTACACAAGTCCAGGTAGATGACATCAACTGCTCTACCCCTGTCCATCAGTTCTGTAGCCCCATCATAGAAGGCCACCAGATTGGTCAGGCAGGATTTCCCCTTACTGAAGCCATGCTGGCTGTCACCAAGCACCTTGTTGTTTTTCATGTGCCTTAGCATGCCTTCCAGGAGAATCTGCTCCAGGATTTTGCCAGGCACAGAGGTGAGACTGACTGGTCTGTAATTCCCTGGGTCACCCATTTTCCCCTTCTTGAAAATGGGGGTTATATTTCCCTTTTTTCAGTCGTTGGGAACTTCACCTCACTGACATGATTTCTCAAATACGATGGCCAGTGGCTTAGCAACTTCATTCACCAGCTCCTTCAGGACCCGCAGATGGATTTCATCAGGTCCCATGGACTTGTGCACGTTTGGGTTTTTAAGATGGTCTCGAACCATATCCTCTCCTACAGTAAGCCCAAGATACCGCTTGGCCATGACCGGCGCCGGCATTGACCGACACCTCTTCTGCCTCTACCTGATGTGGCGATACCTGGGCCTGCAGTCGCCCTTCCTTGCCCAGGTCAGCACCACGGTCTTTTCCAACCTAGTTGATTCTGTGATTCCATTCTATGATTCTGTGACTGCAGAAGTGGCTGAGAGCAGCAGGGCACGCTTTGTCCCTGCTAAATATTCCCACATACCAGGCAGCCATCACTGGAAATGGGAATCTTTTCCAGTTTTTCATCACTGCTTCTGTCAATGAAGCCGTTTAAAATCTCACCGCTTCATCTCCCTTTCATTCTGAAAGCTGCCCTTGTTCTGCTTGTCACAACTGCAACAGGGGAACAGAGGAACAACAGCAGAAGCAAACCCTCATTTTATCCAGGCAGACAAAAAAGCAGACATTGGTGCTCTCTGATCTCTGTCTTGGACTGAAAATAAACAGAGGAGATGGAGAAGTCTTGTGGTCTGCGGTCATTTCGCCTTTTTCCCCTCTGGTTTACTCCCACAAACAGATCACAAACATTTATAGGCTTGGGTCTTTATTTTTTGGTGGTGGAGGTTGTTGCCAAACCAAAGGGGTGCAGCTATCAGTGATTTCTGCCCTAAACCCCAGGAGGCAAAGCTCACTAATGCAGGTTCTTGGTTTTCTCCCTCTCCTCCCCTTCCTGTAAGGAGTTGGATGGTGGAGGTTTCCACTCCCTGCTCCTCCAAGTTTGGTTTGTATCTCCCATGCCTGAATGGCGCTCCTCATTTCTCCTGTGGTAGGAGTGAGGGAGGAGAGGAAGGAACCTTCCTAGGTGTCTTGCACATCCCAAAGGAGGAGCATAGGAGCCATCATCCCCTGCACCTGACCAGGCATCACCCTGCTTTGCATTTTCTGAGGGCTGGGTAGCCTCTGTGGGTGTTGTTTGTTGTTTCTGTTTGTTTGTATGCATTCCCTCCCTTTTCAGTGATGTAATTTATTTGCTCTGTTATTCCGTGTCTATCTGAGGAAGGTTTTTGTTGGTGACTGATCCATGATATAACAGGTACTGTGTAAGCCTCTAAAGATTTTCCTTCAAGAAGGTACAGTTCCTCTTTACCTCAGGTCTTCCCTCCATTCCTTCCCCAGCAGTTCTGCCCATTTCCTTCCTTCCTTCCTTCCTTCCTTTCATTTTCTCTTTCTTTCTTCTTTTCCCTTTTCTAGGCCTTCCCAAGTGTTGTTGGAAGGTGCCAGAGAAGCACAAATTTATGGACCAATGTGAAGATATTTTTTGTCTATATATACAAGGAGCACATAATTAACCAAACCAGCATGGCTCTGTAAGCACCCTGGGATAGTTTGACACCTGTAACAGTAGGATAGGTGGGGACTGAGATTGGAGAAATGGTGACGGGGCAATGACAAAAGAAGGGTCTGAGAGGCAGATACCAAGCAAGCCTGGGGAAGCAGTCTGGATGACAGAAACCTCAGCAACGGTTTTGGTGTTACGATGTGGTGATAGACTATTCAGGAGAGATAATTAAATTAGGAAGGGTATGGGCTGGAGCTTTGTGGAAGTGAAGGGTATGGGCTGGAGGTGGGGTTTGGCGACAAGGGCTTGCTGGGCAACGGTACAGCAGATGCAGTATCTGGGGAGTCAACTTGCTCCCCGTATCTGGAATGTATTAAGTGAGTAGGTGTTCATTCACTGTTTGCCTTTGACATGGTTTCTGGGAGCAGAAGCATGTACTAACACAACGGGAATGTAAACCAAGGTAAAATGTATTCATTCATGGGAGTGGGGAGAGAATGGGAATGCCCAGAAGAGATGCAGTGCTGCAGCGAGTTGAAGGCAGTTCTATGGAGCTTGACTGCCTGAAGAAGCCTACACCCAGGATGTAAAATC